ATTTCCAGAATGCATTACACTTAGGGAATAATAATATGATACCCTTGTGAATGACGCTTTCATGTAGGCAGTTGCTGTGTTTTTAGCTTTTACATGGATTATATTTTTTATTATTTTGCTATATTTGTGTCATGATCACTGCTTAGTGCTAGCTAATGATCACTTTCTTGGCCCAGGAAATCTGCCTTTTGACGTCACAAAGGAAGATATCGTGCAGCATTTCAGATGTGCTGGTGAGTTTGAATTTTGAAAACAATCACTACTACTTTCTTGCCCCAGGAAATCTGCCTCTAGGAATAAGCATAGCTCAGTTAGTTAGTGTGCTTTAAAGCTAGAGGTCCAATGTTTGATCCTTAGGGTCTCCACGTTTGTTTCAACTCCCTGTAGATTCAGCTTTGAATACTCTTAAAACAGAGCACTGATGGAAATATGGGATAAAGTCTCACACTGTCGGCCCCTGGGATACTGGTCAGCCACATAGGTGAAGGAACTACCAACATTAAATATAGTTTACCTTTAACTTTTTTTACTACTCTAATCATGTTACAGTAATCTACAAAATAATAATGGTACTAATGGAATATTGTTCACTTTCAGGAAATGTTGATTTTCGGTTGTTGACAAAGAAAGACACAGGGTCCTCTAAAGGCTGTGGATTCCTTGAGTTAGACAACATTACAAGCTATAAGGTATGAATGTGAATAATGATGAAAATGTGGTAAATAGCAAGCATTCTTATAAAAGTGTTACTGCAAAAAATGCATGTACCCATATACTGTATCTTATKAGTCACAAGGCAAGAAACTTGCTTTCTGGACGACTGCTAAATTGATTAAAATTAGTATTTTATAAATCCTGCTACTATCAGTCTCTTGTAATACCAGTATTATAATCTAGTTTGTCAGTRAGAAAAGAGAGAAAGTAGAATGATGCATGGGCAGTTCGTAAATAATCCACACTTAGTATAGCATGTAACTTGTTTCTTACTTTCTAACCTTGATTTAACAATTGTTTCCTTACAGAAAGCTCTCAACCTCCATCACAGTACAATAGGAGGAAGAAAGATTAATGTTGAAGTTACTTGTGGAGGTGGCGGGTCAGGGGAGAAAAGAACTGAAAAATTAAATGAAAAGAAAAAGAAGTTTAGAAAGAAAAGAGCCAAGAAACTTAATAAGGAAGATGATACAATAATTACTGATACTGGTGATAAGGAAGAGAAAAAGAAGACTAGTAGCATGAAAGAAAAATCTGATATTATGATCAAAAATGAGGATTCATCCACAGATGAGAAAATGGACATGAAGAGCAAGAAAAGAAAACAGGAGTTTACAGAAGAAGAACTAGCATCTACAAAGAAAAAAGCTTTAAAAGAATCTAGTGCCCTTACAGCTATAGTCAATGAACTACAGCTAGAAGCATTGGTGGAAGACAAGAAACATGAGAAATTAGATGTTAGTTTAACTAGTGAGAAAAAAGAAAAAAAAAAGAAGAAAAAGAAAAAGCTGAAGGAGGAGAAGGATTGATGACATTTTCTGTATTACAGTCATACTCATACMTGTTTTTATAAAGACATGTTGAATCCTTATTTCAATTTTCATTATTATTTTTGGAGATTTGAAGAAAAAAATGACAGCCATCAATAATGGGAGGGGTGGTACAAAAATAAAGTGAAATGGTCCAGATAAACAGGGTTGGTGCTAGTACTTCTTAAACTCCTTGAAAACTCTTTGAATTTAATTCTCGTTTTCAAGGGTACTTGAGAAACTCTTGCATTTTACGATTTTAGATAAAATGCTTCAAAACTCATTGAATTTCTGCTTTGATTGTTACTTGCATGGTTCTGAAATAGATCTAGTTATCCAAAATGTTTTGATATGTTTCCATGTTGATTGACCTACAACTATATGCAAGATACAATATCAACCAGATGTTACTTCCCTTTTATGAGGGGTACTCGAAAATGCCTGAAAGTCAGCCATGTGCAAACAATGTGTAAAACATGGCTTGGTTAGCTGAACATACTCCTTGTAAAACAATTTTTAGGTCCTTGAATAATCCTTGAATATTAAGTGGATACCTCGGCATGAACCCTGTCTAAAGTGACATCCCCTGGTACTAGTATGTGTACTGTTAATACCATATCACAGTTGTAATGAGTCAAACAAATTAATCTCAATCGTTTCTCAGTGCAAAGTTTATAATGGACCATTTTTTCCTTATTTTGTAAATTTTAGTAATCCAGAAACCTAGTCACGAAGTCTGGATTACAGAATGAGAGCTTGACCCTCCCCTCCACCTTTGGATAAGATCTGAACTAATAATGATATTATCATGTCAAAATAAACTATTATTGATTCAAAATCAGGCTCCTTTCTGGCATTTTTTCATTGTCTGGCAATCAAGTACTCTTTTTGAGAGACCAAACAGTTCATTGAATCACACTCATCTTGGTAGTTGTCCAGGAAACCAGTCCAAGGCATGAAATAAATGCTTTTTGCAGTTTAAAACAGAATAGATTGAACACTTCCCACCAGTTGTCAAGAGAATTGGGTTTATTTTAAATACTGTTTAACACCTGCAGTTATTTTCCCAGTTATTCCAATATTTATTTTCATTTTTGCGAATTATTTTTTCACAAAGTTTGGTTGTTAGGCAACGACCACTAGAAGTCACGTGACGCCCAGGTGCTGGTCATAACCAAGATGGCTTCGGAAGATGGTGTTGTGTTTTGTGTTCCGGAGTTTCCTTCCCATGTATTTTCCTGCTTAAATGTCCTAAGAAGCGAAGGAAAACTGTGTGACATTACCCTAATAGTAGGAGAACAACGAGTAAAATGCCACCGCGTTGTTTTAGCGGCCGCGAGTCTATATTTTAATGCCATGTTTACGGGCGACATGCTGGAAAGTCGACTCGACGAAGTCACCATTCATGGAGTTGAATTTTCAGCTTTGGAAGAAGTTATTAATTTCTGTTATTCAGGGAGGACAGAGATTACAGTTGACAATGTACAGAACTTAATGTGTGCTTCTAATTTGCTTCAGTTAACTAGTGTAAAGCAGGCGTGTGTTGAGTTCCTTCACCGAGTTCTTCATCCTAGTAATTGTCTAGGCATTAGAAGTTTTGCTGATACTTTTTGCTGCGGTGATCTCGTTGAAGCTGCCGGTGTTTTCGCCATGAAGAATTTCTCAGACGTATCTAAGAGTGAAGAGTTTCTAAGGCTCGATCCAGATGAACTACTTGCTTTGATCTCAAGTGATGAGCTAAATGTTCGTACAGAAGAGGAAGTCTTTGAAGCTGTGTTATCATGGACCCAGAAAGAAGTGGACGAAAGGAAAGACTTTCTACCTGAGCTCCTTAAAAACGTTCGCCTACCTCTGATTAGACCACAGTACCTGTGTGACCATATTGCCGCTAATGATCTCGTGAAAAACAACTTTTCCTGTAGAGATCTGGTTGATGAAGCTAAAGACTTCCTCTTGTTGCCAGAAAGACGTTCAATCCTACAGTCACCAAGGACCCGACCAAGAAAGTGCAGCGAAGCAGCTGGGATTATATTTGCTATTGGGGGGCTTAATTCCTCTGGGGAAGCTTTATCTACAGTTGAGACATATGATCCAATAACAGGACAGTGGTCTCCTGCAGATGGAATGAATTCCTTAAGAACAAGAGTGGGTGTTGCTGTTCTAGGGATGAAACTATATGCCCTAGGAGGGTTTGATGGCCACAGAAGGCTGAGTACAGTCGAGCATTATGACCCTTTAGTTGGAAAATGGATCCCGACCACACCCATGAATACCCGCCGCAGTGCCCTTGGTGCAACTGTTATGAATGACAAGATATATGTTGTTGGAGGCTATGATGGGCACATCTCTCTGAGCACCATGGAATGTTATTCACCCAAGACAAATACTTGGAGTTTCCTCACCTCTATGAGTACACTACGTAGTGCGTCAGGTGTAACTGAACTGAACGGCAAGTTGTATGTCATTGGTGGGCATAATGGACTCTCTATTTTCAATACAGTTGAGATATATGACCCTCAGACAAATAAATGGAGTGTTGGTCAATCCATGAACATGAGGCGATGCCGAGTGGGCGTGTCCATACTTAATGGTTGTATATATGTCTGTGGTGGATATGATGGAAGTGCCTTTCTTAACACTGTTGAGTGTTATGATCCAAACACTGGACAATGGAAATTAACTACACCAATGAAAAGTCGACGTAGTCGAGTGTCTGTGGTAACCCTTGGTGGACGATTGTATGCTATTGGAGGGTATGATGGACTGACCAACCTAAACACAGTTGAATGTTATGATCCTCAGGCAGACAAATGGACATTTGTAACTCCAATGTGCAAGCACCAGGGTGGGGTAGGGGTTGGTGTACTACCAAGGAGCTCATATACATGAATCTTTATTGGGGTGCAGTAGTGCAGGACATATGAACCTCTTCTGTTACTCCAATGTGCAAGCATCAGGGTGGGGTAGGGGTTAGTGTACTACCAAGGAGCTCATATACATGAATCTTTATTGGGGTGCAGTAGTGCACGACATATGAACCTCCTCTGTTACTCCAATGTGAAAGCACCAGGGTGGGGTAGAACAACAATAAATAATAATAATAAATAATTAATTCCATTGTTTTCTTTTGAATTACTTTGTCAAGGTTACTCAAGGTTACTCGTATACCACTTGCATGATTTACCACTCACATAATATACCACCTGTATAATATACCACTCGTATACCACTTGCATGATATACCACTCACCTAATATACCACCTGTATAATATACCACTCGTATACCACTTGCATGATATACCACTCACCTAATATACCACCTGTATAATATACCACTTGCATGATATGCCACTCACATAATATACCACCTGTATAATATACCACTCGTATACCACTTAAATAGTTAATGTTCAATGCTGAGAGATGATTCAAACACCTTGACAGACAGATGTACTAATAAGGAATATTTCTCACAATTTAAATCAAGTAAAAATTATAGAGTGCTTTTCAAAAACCTGTGAAATACACTTTAGTGTATAACACTTCAATACACTTTATTGTCCGCATTTTCTTTTGATTTTCTATTTGGTTTTCATTGTATTACAATTTATTACACCTTAGTTATTACACTTTGTTTCACAGGTTTTTGAAAACCACTCTAATTTGTATTATCAAATTTATGAATATTTGCACGACAAGCTTTTGTTATATGAAGCTATGTTGGGCCAGAACATTATAATTCCAGTTCACAATGCAAATGTATATTTAGGAATATTAAATAAGAAAAATGAACAATTCTTCAGATAAATGCATGTTTGAAAAAAGTTATTGTATTGAGGTTTTTGAAGTTTGGATTGAAAGTTTAAAATAAAGATGTTTTCATTGTTGATAATGGTTTTAATTTTTGGTGCTGACAGACTGTAGAGTACGAACACTAAAAGTGTGCAACACTTTGCACTATTTAGTAGTAAATAGYGYTAATTAAACAATAGAAAACAMTAGGATTAGCATAATTTAGCGGTTTTTAGTGGTATTTATGTTGCACACTKATAGYGTTTGTACTCTATTTTATTTTCAATTAATACTAAGCAAGGTGTTTAGTGAAACAAATGTAACACACCTCCCTCTATCACATATACCCTGCATTATCATGACTACAAGTATTGTCCCTGTTTTATGACTTTCCCAAAATGCCACTGCTTTCCCTCCCCAACARAACAAAAATGATTCCAACGAGGAATGATGCAAGTAACACTTTCCAAAGTCTGGGTTGTTTTACAGGTTTATTGATAAGACCTTTGAACAAAACTTTTATTGACTTCAACCTTGAAACAATGATGCTCACTAAACATAACCATTGCTTAAAGAGTGAACAAAACTGATACTGATCTATCCACTGAATGTAACTCTTTTGCTGTACTATAGGATAAGATCCATCAACTAGGTCACCAGAAATGTTTACTTTTAGTACAGAACAGAAACCGAATCTTTTAAGACTTTCAGTCTAAGTCATAATTATGATCTAAAAATCTTTTTCAATTTCACTTTAAGAAGTGAAAGAGTGTGGGTTTTTTAAAGGATTCATGCTTCAGGCTTTTGGTTTTGAAGGAACACAGGAAATAATACACCTTTTATAAGAGCATCGTATATATATATATATATAYATACTTAGGGCTTAGTTAATGGAGCGGAATGGTTTGGAAACTCCATAGAACAAAGCTATTGTTTTGCCTTTGATGTTGAATCGTACCATCACGTGTTACTGAGGGTGCACAATGAACCAAAGCAAGTATGGCTGAAAATACTCATTTCCTTATTATTTTCATGTATGAACACTTTGAAAGTGAAAACTTTCATTGCATGACCACAAACTATGCGGATAAATATTTCCGCGCATATACAGTTAAGTTACTAGATGATAAATAAGAAAGCATGAAAAAGAGCAATTTCATTTTCAATAAACRATCTATATTAATCATATAGGATTAATTAACAAATAATACATATTTTAGAACGATTTTTAAGGGGAAAAAACTTTTATATTCCCTAATACTGTGAACAAATGGAGCAGCTTTTCCTTCACTGTGCACGGTCAACGTCATATGACAATGGATAAAGACGAACAAAAACATAGAACAATAGGTTTTCCAACCATTCCGCTCCATTAACTATGGCAGTTAGGGGGAACAGATAAATRAGAAGCCACTTTTAATACGCACACAATCGTTTGTTAAAATAAAWAACTGTGTGCATATAACCTCACACTGTAGCTATGCTACACTACGGAAGTTCCTTACAACGCAGGAGGCTAGTCGCAGGCCGAGTTACAAAAAATTGTAAAAAACCATAAACGTAAGTGTTCTACAATTTTGTTGCAGCACTTGTGCATCCAAGTCTTCACGAATGACTAATCAAATCTTTTGGAGAGATTCAGATATGTTGCCTGGTGTTTGTTATCTTGCACGTAACGGAGCAAAGTAGTTTCGTGAATTACCTTGCAATGTTGCACACAAAATATYCCGTGAAAACTGCCTTCAACGTTAATATTAATGGCGTGATGTTATAAGCTTATGAAATGTGGCATTTTAGTGTACTGTCATATCAACACTTTCTTATAACGCACAACTTATATGCACAATGCGTTCGGTCCTTTTTCAGCTTTCGTTTCCAGTCCTCTGCGGTCGCACGTGTATTACGCTAAAAAACTTGTACTTAGTCTCAACACCAACCCATCATTGACACATGCAGAAYGTGTTTGAACATTAATGGCGCAAAATTGACGACTACACGTTGAACCAGACTGACAACACTCAAAATGACTCGTCAGTCAATCAGATTAGTACCGTTACAACGGCACAGTACGGTACGTCTGTACCTCGTCCGCTTCACATATGGTGATACTTTGCTCTTCCAGCAGTTAGCAAATGTATTCGGGCAAAAAAATTGTACAGCTTCGYACGCAATATTTTCATTGTGTTGACTAGATTATGTAATTGCGCAACTTGCAAGGCAACGCCCAACCGATTTTCTTTGCTGCAAAGAGAGGCGTGAGATYTTATTACGTGCAACAAAGAATTGTGCGCGAAACAAGCAACAGTTGCATTCGACAGTTGAAACAATGCAGTAATGTTGCGCGACAAGCTGCAAGATTTTGTTGCTCATCTTATTGCAACTGAAGCGGATAATCCATAATATATTCATAAATCTATATATCCAAACATCCTACGTGAAAAGAGCTTGTATTTGCTTTTTGAAAAAAGCGTAAAAGTTTTCAAAAGTCTGTAGCCCAGTGCCATCAATATGTTCCAGTTTGACAACACACTCTCTGCTTTTTCCTCCTGAAGAATCTTTCTTTTCTGAGAGAATCAATTTAAARACAAGGACAGGGTTGTTGTTATCCTGTTCTTTATGAGATGGAGGTGCTTCGAATTGGGGTGGGTCGAGTGGCTTTGGTTCAGAATCTTGTAACAAGGACCTCTCAGGTACAGTGAGGTGAAAGGTTTCCTCCTCGCTTGCTAAGGACAAGTCATCTTTGTTTTTACACTTTCTTCGCTCTCTTCTGCAGTGCGTCCATGTATTGGTTAAAGCAGTACAGCTTGCACTGAAATGATCTCTCGAGTCTTGATCACCGCTATCACCTTCCAAATCACATCTGATTTGGAGATCATGTTCCAAGTATTTACAAAACGCATTGAATAGTTCCTCTGGGTTTGAATGTCTTGAGCAAACCATTCCACCAGCTGGTATGGCTTCCTCATCCATTGCTTTTTTCTCACACAAGTATACAGAGAACGAGTAGCCTTCTCTCTTTTTCCTTTTGATGGGAGTCTTAGTCGTCGGGCTGGAGAAGAAGGTTGCGATTCCTGGATCAGATTCTGTGAGATGACCATCTAATGGAAATGTTGAACATACTCTAAAGCCATACATCATACAGTGGATGATATTCTTCAGGGATGGTACCCCGATATTCTGAGTTACATTATGAGTCAGTTCAAATGGATCCTGTACACAGATTGGTGTGATTTTCCACATTGTTCCTGTCTCTTTGGGCTTGTCTTCTTCATTTGGTTCAGCTAGGCTAGAGTGTTGATCAAGGTCTCTTTTATTCGCCGCTGTTTCTAGTGTCATACCAGATCCAATGCTAGCTTCACTCAGTGATACATTTTTATTTGCCTGATCAAGACTTTTTCTTTTCATTTCTATTTCCCGCAGTTCATCTTCTAGTGATAAGTTGGTACATCTCTCAGCTTTCCGGATGTTGACTGCACAATTGCCGTAATCGAATTTATTACCATAGAAGTCAAAAAATTCTTCAAGAAGTTTTTCTGTGATAACAAGGTAAAAAATATATATTAGATTTAAATTAGAGATTGGGAGGAAACTGTAGCCAAAGTCTGATCAGTGTTTTTCATGAGAAGTGAATATCTTACCCTGAAACAACCTCTGGGCTGATTGAAGTCAGGGCATGGTTAACTCACAGATAGAACACTGAAACAACCTCTGGGCTGTTAAAAGTCAGGGCATGGTTAACTCACAGATCAAACCCTGAAACAACCTCTGGGCTGTTCAAAGTCAGGACATGGTTAACTCACAGATCAAACCCTGAAACAACCTCTNTGTTCAAAGTCAGGACATGGTTAAATCACAGATCGAACCCTGAAACAACCTCTAGGCTGTTCAAAGTCAGGGCATGGTTAACTCACATTAACTTACAGATCGAATTGAAATTTAGCATGTTAGGTTYTTAAGTGAGAGGAAAACCAGAGAACCTTGGGTCAAAACTGGAATCTAGGAAGAGACCTAACAATTTCTAATTGCATGATGCCACTGATTTGGCCAGGAATTGAACTTGGACCTCAGAGATGAGAGGCGAGTTTATTACCACTGCCACCCTCGATTCCCAATGAAGCATGGGAAGAGGAAAGGACTCCTTTTTTCCTTCCCCTTCTCTCTAGCTTTATACCACTATTCTTGCTATTTATAAAGAAAGTCCCAATGAAATGCTTTGTGGGTGATAGGAAAGGTTGAGAATGACCAAAAATTTGTTTAGTTGACAGCAGTTTGCAACTTGCAATAAAAATAAAATAAAATAAATCAACTTTGTTTATAGCTAGAGGATAACACTTGACAGTAATTCAACTGATAAACTTGTGGTCCTCTTTTAATGTCTCTAGTTAATTAGGAACAGGATGGCCATTACCATAGTAATCCCAGCCACGTGAATGTAACCATTTGCAGATGTAATAACAAAGGCAACACCTCCTCAGTTATTTTTAGACCCTGAGTGTTGGTCTGGTCGGGGCCTAAACAACAACYTCCCACAAAACAGTCCAATGCTCATGTAATGATCATATTGCAAAAATCTCACCCTGCAAAAATTCATCCTGAAGTGGTCATTGCAAGTTGCAAACCATGTTTTAAAAACTAGTCCTTACCAACCGACTTGTTATTTAAGCTTGGAGATAGCAAGGTTATGTCTTCAAAGAAGCTACAGTCCCATCCATCAATGCAACAGTCCTGCACATCTTTCCCTTTATCTTTTTCATCTCCACTTATCTTCTCAGCATTCATTGGCCATCCAGAGATATTTTGTAAGGAAGGAATCACAGGAGGGTTGGTGGTTTGAAGAAAGTAAATAACCATTAGCGTCAGAGCATAGCTTGTCAACTGCCCACTATCACCTCCTGATATACYTAGAGTTTTGGCCCAGGCCCTTATGATATACACTAGTTGAGCTACCCTGGGATCTAGTGCCATGTAACACCTGAGAAGCTTAGTATTTTGGATGCCAAGTCTGAAAACATAATGTGAAATGTTAGTCCTTGAGGAATGATAAAATATTGGCAGCGTCTTCTGTCATAAGAGAGTAGACTTGCTCCAAGTCAATGTCTCTTGTCTCACAGGGTGGCAGACTTTGCAAAAGGTAAGAAAATKGACCTACTAAATTGGTAGCAATAAAATACACATGTATGAAAAGGAGAGTTTTTTGGTCATTAAAGTAGATCAAAGTCACCATATGATGTTGGGTAACAGCTGGCGTGTTTAGCCAATAAAGGCAGCATTACACCAGGTAATTTACAGTAGCTTTATAAAAGGAYATTAAGTGCCTGGACATTATCCACTGATCATCCCCGAACAAGACTGCAGTGGTGCCCCTTGCTATACTACTTTCACTGAAGAAAATCCTAAAATAACTTTCCAGTGGTGAGTGCTGATAAGTCCAATAAACACTTAAACTTTATAAGGGCAAGARTCACCTGTTATTGATGGTTAAATCACATGACAATCCACTTGATTGATGGGTGAACTTTATAACAGGACACTTAGCAGAGTAGATTGGTATGACATGAGAGCATCCAGGTACAAGACTTYTTAGCACCTTCACTACAAACATAAACAMATTGGAGMCCTTGGYTTCTGGTCCAACTACAGCACCAGASTCTTTAGTGTCTAATTSACCTTCTATTATGTCTTTATCTGTTAGGATTGTTATATCCAGATCTGTTCCCTTGCAGCCCAAGCCATTAGCYGATGAACCATAAGGAACTACTTGTACTGAAGGAGAGAATTCCTTGAAGACTTCTTCCAAGACCTTGCAGACTAGTGACCTAAGCTGYATGTCTTCATCTGACAGACGTAATTCACTCATTAACCGATCTATCTGCTGGCTTATCTTATAATATGTATAAAAGGGTTAATGAAACAAATTATTATAAATCAACAAATGAACTAAGGGAAGGTACAAATGAACTAAGGGAAGGTACAAATGAACTAAGGGAAGGTACAAATGAACTAAGGGAAGGTACATTCTGCATTGGGGCGAGGGTGGGTGATTCACAATTATCTTTTTAAAAAATTGTCAAAGTATTGCATTGCTATACTTACTGTGTTAAGCTGCTTCAATTTATYGATTAATTCTTTTGGTAAAAAAGCTGCAGTTTTGGTTTCACTTGAATAACGTTTCTTTCTCTTCTTTGGGTTGGGYTCAGGACTTTTATTGGGCTCTTGTTTTTCTAGTGTTTTTTGTTTAGCAAAGGTCCTTTTCTTTATCYTCAGGTGTTTTCCCTTAAAGATAATTGGCTCCTCTTTTTCTAAGATGTCTGAAACACTCTTTTCATCTTCAAATTCTACAATAGCATAAACTCCCTATAGTTTAAATATAACATGTTAGTTTAGAGGGTGGGTGGAGACAGTCTTGGGTCATGTCTTTCTAAGAAATATATATTTAAAAGATATAATACACATGCTGATTGGCTGGCTACCATGTTCATACCTGTTCAGAGCACGGAGAACTGGTCCCACAAAATAATTGTTCAAAAATATTTTATAAATTAAAAAAGTATATATTACACTTATAACATACCAGTATTTGTGGAATATATCTAACCTTATTYTTGTCAAAGTAGATTTTTTTGACTTTTCCAAAAGAGCTGAAAAATGTGCTCATTTCATCTTCATTTGTTTCAGAGCACTTTAAGCCAGTTACATACACACTCAGTGCTGCAGCTTTGCTTTGTTCTTCTTGTACCTTCTGAAGACTTTGGTGCTTTTTGCCTTTGATGTGAGTTGCAAGCAATGATGCTGTGATGGAAATGAATTTCAAAAGATTTTAAATAGCACAAAGTTTATATTCAAAATRGGTCATGGTACACCCACATAATGTGTGATGTTTGTTCTGAAGCTACACCACAATGTACCATGTTTGCTATATCAGAATTGAAAAGGTCTATGGATTCAGTGTCCATAATCTTAGATCAGCAGTTTGTCCACATAAATATACAGAATAAAACAACTCTACAATTTATTTATATATATATATATATATATATATAAACAACTTGCCATTGCTTATCACCACTGCAAGTACAGCAGTGGTGCAGCTCAACGGGGTCAAACTGAAAGCATGTGAAGGCGCCTCTGGCAGCCGCTATACAGTCCATGTATGACCCCAGAGCACAGCTCTAACCAGTTTGAATTAGCAAGGGTTGATTTGAGACGAGGAAGGAAAAAYCAGTGGATGGGAAAAACCCTTGGAGTCAGAAAGAGAACCAACCAACAACTCAGCTCACATGGGGTGACTGGGATGGGAACCCTGGACCTCAGAGGTGAGAGGYGAGCATTTTACCACCACGCCATCCTGACTCCCTGTGGCCATCTTGGTGTGAGAAACAATGGATGCTAATGAGAAATCTCTTCCTTAAATTAGCATCAACATGCATGGCAGCCATAATGTCATCACATGCAATCAATGGATGCTGTATATATGGACCTCTTCTGTAAATAATGCTTAATTTTTCTTTTCGTTTGTATTAATTAGCACWCTTTCTTGACCGTATACCCAATATTTTCATTAAAAATCATTTTTTAGGAATTTATTTCCGTCTAAGACTTTTATAAAATTGGGCTCTCTGTGTTATGCGAAAAAATGGCTGCCTTTCTCGCTCTGAAGGACTGCTTGGCAAGTCTAGGGTTCTAGTGTTCATTTGCCAGTCTTTAGTTAAGGAAGCTGATAACATCCTTGTTATCAAATGCAAAAAAAGGTTTGAAGTGTTTTAAGTCAGAAACTACAGATATTAAAAACTCTAGTTAGATGATATAAACTTGTTTTTATAAGCATAGTTAATAGAGGGGAATGGTTATAAGCTACTGTCCTCTGCGGTTTCGAATTCAAACTTACACTTTACCTGAAGATATGTAGACATTGCAGACATCACAATAAACCTGACTTGGTTTTCCAACCACACACGTCTTGTCTTCACTCATATCTTAGCTCTTACTCTTACTAAAGACAAAGTTAAAACGTCAAAAAATAACATGTCAGCCAACACGTGCAGCCATATCTTGACAAGAGTGAGTAGCTTCCTGTTAGCCTCCGACACATCCAGACAAAAAAAAGTCCGGATATGACGCAGTAGCTCCCTGTACGTCAGACCTCACTAACGAGAGGGGAGGGGTGGGTTCGGTCCAAATCCAATAGTCCCGGCCTAACTATTAAAGTTTTTCTCAAATTTCAATCCCATTCCCATAATTTGAATTTTCGTTTGTGAATCCCATTCCCAGTGCATAAAATCTCGTTTTCCCAGCACAAAAAAAATGAATCCCAGCTCTCATTTTACCCCCTTCAGGACCCTCCCTAAAGATGATCACATGATCGATCACATGACAGTCCGTCATAATACAAGAATAGATGGTTTGACGTTTTCTTATTCCCACACGAGGAAGAAAGTAAATCGAAGTAGCATTCAAATTGCGTTTTACTAAAATAGAAATTGAAATCTTTGGATTCCGTTTAAAAGAGATTGCATCCTAACCTGTGTTCAAGAACTTCGATAAAAGAGTCGAATTACGATGTCAAATCCAGCATATCCGCCACAACAATATGGCGACCAACGAAACCAGCCTCCGTACGTATCTGGCTACGGTAATCCCTCATATCCCCCACCAACTGGCTATACACAGCCTCCTGGAGYCTACCCTCCTMCTGCCCAAGGTGGATATCCACCACAAGGAGGCTATCCTCCTCCACCATCATATGAATCGGCTACGAAACCSGAGCCGTTGGTTGATGTTGTGCACGTTCCACCGTCGGATGTTGGCCGTGAGATGATTTCCTTTGATGATAAAAGCATTCGAAGGGGTGAGTGTGGCGCTTCATGCAGGCTGTTTAAAGACGATGTAAAGACTAAATTAATTACAAGTTACCTTGCAATTAGTTTATTCTGCAGTTTATGATAACAAAAAAGATTAGTTTTAAACAAAGTTTGCTATTTCAACACGTTTACGAAGCCTTAATATRAAATATTCGATTTTATATATAATGCCATTTCGCCTATAATCGACATTTTAGCTGAACCTTTGCCTTTTTACTAACATAGAGGTRCTCTTTTTTCCATTTCTGGTGTTCATTTTGACACAGCTGCTTTGATTGGAGAAGAGGGGTATTGGRTCACGTGACCTGCTCTTAAGATTCCAGAGATTCCAGATTCCAGTGTGAACTYTAGATTTAAGTTGGATGTTATTGATTTTAATTGATAAATTATTATTACACTATTATTAATGATGTTAGGTTCTGAATATTAATCATTGGACATCACAAAGTGGTGATGGCATGAATAACGATTCATATTGATATRTCTAGTCATTGCATATATAAATACATGTACTGCAAATCTGCTTCTGCAGTAGACATAAAACAAGTTTGTTGATTAACAATCAGAGTAGGCCAAGTTTGACTAGGAGCTGAGTACTGATGAACCATTTCTCTGAAAACATTTTTGAAACACTTCACCAAAGCTTGCCAGTGCAATTTGCCAATCTTTCAATTGCTGTTCATAGTCAAATGATCATTTGGTCACAACTGATCATGTGATCATGCTTTATCTATCACTTGACTATGATCAATCATCTATGTGCTGGCCTATCCTTCAAATTATTTGGTATGATTGATACTGAGGACAAATACAGTATGTACAAAAGCATTCAGAAATATATCAGAAATAGATCATCATGATAATTAATAATAATTATTGAATGAAGTTTAGCATTTGGGACTGATYGTATTTCAAAAGAAGGGAAACTTTTTTAGCCAATCAGAGGTAAGATAGTGAGTATAATGTATAATGATATTTTTTTTGTTCTAAGATTACCCTCTTTTATATATTTTATACCACCCAGTAGCACTATAGAACTTAGATTGTCCTGAAGGCTTTTGGACTTTCTTCACACTAGCTTTTAGCTAGTTATCTCTTCTTGTTTTCTTGGTCAGGTAATCATGAAAATGAAGTTCATAGCTTTACTACTATTTGCGATCTACTGTGAAGTGTGACGCGCCAAACTTGTTTTTATAAGTTATATCCCAAACGTTTGGCACAACTAACTGTCAAGTTTGACATGCAAAACTTTTACGCTGTCTCATTTATTGCAAAGATGGTGAAGGTAAAGGTTAAAACATTGTACGGTCCTTCCTACGAAAAGAATTAAAGTTTTAAACTTTGATCGAAGCGAGTTCCTTGCCAGGTAAATATGACCTTCCAAATTTGTTAACTCTTAAATCCATATTTCTTTACTTCGCGCTCAAAGTTTCGAGAGTTTTGATATGAARCTGAAAGAACAACCACATAAAACTTCGTACATTCCACGTGCAAACTAAAAGTTTGTCAGAGGTCAAACTTGACAGTTATTAGTGCCAAACGTCTGGGATATAACTAAACAAGTTTGGCCCGTCACACTTCACGGTAGATCGCAAATAGTAGTAACGTTCAAAAGKTTTTTATCTTTAATCCGTTTTTTCTTCTTTTGTTTTTCAGGTTTCATCAGACGGGTACGTTTGTAATTCTACTTTATTTTTTAAATTTTTATTTCAAGTTTTTTTTATGTAGCTTAGGAGGTAATAGTAATAGTATTTTATATAAAGTATTATTGTTATCATCATCATCATCATCCAAAATTTTGTGTTATAATATGGAATATATCCTACTGAGCTAGGGTCAGGTACAGGGTTACAAAGATTAYTTAGAACCTAACTTTTTTTAAAGTAATATACACCTATTTCAAAAAAACATTGTGGGTAGGAGATCTAAAATCTGAATCTGAGTATTATTGTGGGAACTGTGTGTTTTCTTGTTAAAAAAATCAAAATCAAAACTTAGCCAGGCAACTGATTAGTGCAGGTCATTGCTCAAGTAGGCATATGTATATATGAAATAGGTGAAATATRTGAAATCACAAAACAATTACCAGCTTACAATCCACAATTCATTTCAGTCTACGATTTCAGTTTATTAACCGACAACGTTTTTTGAAATAGGTGTATAGCCTATTTGCATGCAACCTGTATTTAAGTATATGTTATACACTCAATTGAAGAATCGTTGTTGGGTTCAGAAACATAGAAGCTGAGACCGAATGGCGCACAGAAAATGACATAATTATATTATAATTTTTTATTTACGCCATCCATGCAGTCGGTTTACAATGCCAAACAGGTATTAAAAACAGTGGATGATGCCAYGGGTCTGCTGTCACAGTATGAATCTAATTAACGTACTTCCCATGTGTCCCACCCGACAATGATTCTTCAATTGAGTATATATTGTATATCAAATGACTTGTAGTATAATTTCATATTTTAACATTCTCGAGACTGGAGTGAGTTTGACTGAGAAAATCCATRTCAAAGTTGAAAGCAAATGAGAAGCATTCTTTATCTGATTTAAAGCCTTTTCCTGGGTGTCTGATATTTATATTGTTGCTTTTGATAATGTAAGTAACAAAATGATCAGCTAGTACATGAATTAAAATATTTGAACATTTCACTTTAGGTGTATTTCATTCTCATGTGCCAGYTGGCCTTCACCGTTGCCACTATTTGCCTCTTCATGTTCTGGTAAGAATACATATGCATTGTCAAGAGAAGGCTATTGAAGTCCCTGTCATTGATTTGAGGGAGGGTACTCCTTACTATTTAATGGGAGGTTGGATGTGATGGTTGGTAAAAAAATGGCAGCACAATTTGGGGAAATACATGTAATTCAGCCTTTCCTGACAACCAAATTTTCAAAGTTGGTTTACCCATTGGCAAATCTAGTGCATGCATGCAAAAAAGTTCTTTTCTGATTATTTTATGCTAAAGTGTACAATATGTAATGGTGACATGCTACAACAGCATCTACATATATATATAGTTTTGTTATTCAATTGTTTTTCTTCTAGCAAACCTGTGAAGAAGTTTGTCCGTGAAAGTGAACATTCATTGGCTATTTATCTCTCTGCATAGTAAGTATTTTGAAACATATATCAACAGTGGTTTATTATGAGTAGGTAAAGAAAGATTTTTCATTTAGAGGACAAATTGCTTAAATTTTCCTATTGTTTTTACCTCATATTTACAAACAATTTATGGCTAAATTTAAATTCAAAATTACAAACATGTCCAAAGTCACAGAAATCACCAATTGATCACGTCAAACTGTTTTGCTTTACTGTTCCATATAATTCTTACGAACCTGCCTAATTCATCCTTGATTTCAACAAATCCTTGAAACTTCACATTCACTTCATCAACAATTTGCCATCATTTTTAACTAAGAGCTGCCTAACCTTGGCCACATGTTGGCCGTACATTGGCCCACGACACGACTTGAAAAAGTCCCAATAGTATTGGCCATCTGCTGGCTTAGCTTTGGTGGCTATCAGCTGTGTATTGTTGAGTGTGCATCACCTAACATTTGGCCAACACACGTCCAATAGTTGGCCAATGCACAGTCAATAGTTGGGTGGTTGTCAACCGACACATGTCGGCTGGTAAAATAAAGTACTGATTACTGAAGGTAATAATTCATAATCTCTTGTTTCTTCAGGGTAGTTATTATTATTAAATTCCTGTTTTCGTTTTCCTGTAAGTTTTTATTGGTCTATGACAGCACCATGCACTTTGTCAGGCCAGTTACTATTAGATTACACAACACTCTGGCCTTTTTTCCTCTGATAGTCACTTTTAATTGATTAGAAGACATTAATTTCATTGTTTGTAGTCCCATTTAAGACTATGTGATGCTCTTGGGAGTTGATTCTTTCCTATGTAAAAATGTTTATCATAAAAGAATGATTCTCAAGGGAATGTCACATGGTCTGAACTAAGCAATTTGCATAAGAAGGTTAAGAGCTTGGTCTATTTTATACATATGATTTGTAGAAACTGGTAAGGTGTTGAAAGTATATAAAATTAATATATTTAATATATTATATTATATATTTATATTTTTAAAGTTTAAGTTGGTTTTGTGTGAGTTTCTCCTTTGTCTTCCTTTTCAAAACATGATCTGTGTGCTGCACCATTACAATTTCATTCTCTTTAATAATATAATGATTTTTGTATCTTTTTTAGTGGCATCTTTATYGTTCTTTACTTCGTCCTGGTGTGTTGTCAGAGCGTAAGGTAGGTATTAAAGAACATATTACTGGCTTTGCAAGTAAAATAAATTAAGGTAGTTATAGATGACATTGACATTGAAGTACTACCAGTTGAATATATGTTTATTTTTCTGTGATGGAAGTGTAGAAAGAATTGGTGCACTCATACTTGCAATTTGATTTTGTTTCTTTATCAGGAGGAAATATCCTGGCAACCTGCTTTGCTTGACCGTATTTGTAAGTATATTTGTTATATAATTATTTCAAAACATTTATTCACCAAAGGAGAAAAAAATTGAAATCAAAGCTTGACAGCAGTGATAATCATATCATAATAAATTTCAAGATACCATGYGACTTATATAGACCCATTAGAGATTGTAAAAGAAATATGTCGTTAGGAATCTAGCCACTTTCTTTGCATTAATTGGTTATGTAAACCTGTTCTTCCAGACCATGGCTCTGTCATACCTTGTGGGGGTCATCTCAAGGTAATTAATCTATTCTGAGTTGGCCTTGCAGTGCATTTTGGGGCTGTTTTGAGGGACGAAATAAACACCATCTTCAAAAATATGTCCCCTAGAAAGGTCCCACAATGCATTGCAATGCCAATTCAACCATTGTTCTCAACCTCAGAGCGGCTAATATGAATGTAATCAGATGGTACTGTAGACATGACAATGAAGAAAATTTATTGATGAATGAAATGATTGATTGTGTTCATACGCTGGTTATATAACTTTAGCTTTTTTGATTATATTATRCGGCATGTATTGTATTTAGATCTTATTAACCGAGCGGGAGGTCTGTACGGGATAATCTTGACYGAGGTCGGAATGTACAGACTGAGGTCAAGATTATCCCTTACAGACCGACCAAGCTCGGTTGATAAGAGTTTTATTATATGACCACTTTTCATTGAAAAGGACAAAATGTTTTCCCCGTAAGATTAATATGCGATCGGACCGGTTAATACCAGAGAATCTAGACCAGTCCGCGATGCGATCTATCCAATCAGACTGCTCGATTTGCTAGTGTCCAGGCTCTAAGATTCATGGTCATATAATAAATACTACATATTAATAAAGACAATTTTTTCTCCTCTTCCTTTCCTACAGTTATCACAACACCAGCGTGGTTCTCATGGTTATGGGTATCACAACTGTAAGTACTTTAAAGTAATGTTCAACTTTCAATATTCTACAAGAGATAACTAGCTAAAAACTAGTGTGAGCAATCATCTTTATGATATTCGCAATAACAATTCCACCAAACCAGTTTCCCACCATTTCAATCTAGCTAACCATTCTCTTTCTGAKTTCATTGTTTTGGTCTTTCTTTGATTAACGACAACATTGATTGTCRCAAGACCAAAGAAATGCGGCTTRTTCACCTATTGGGCATTCTTAGTCCCAACGGGATTAATGAATGCTTTGTTTTCAACTAGCCCATTCTTTTGTCTTTTGATTGCTTCTTTCATTTCCTTGCCCACCTTGTTCTCATTGGTTTTTTTTGTCTCATTCTCATTATATAAACACTCCTTTCTACCACCTTTTTCTCTTTTACTCCGACGAAGGACTAGCGTTCGAAACGTCAGTAAGTTTTTTCATCTTTTCACAGTGTATAATTTACCCTTTTATCATTACTGTTTCGATATTCTAGTTGAGTGTTTAAGCACGAAACAATCCAAGACAAGGCTTTGAGTAAACAAAAGACTAATATTAAGATTACCTTAAGCACGGGGTGGTGTAGCTGTGTGAAAGGTCGCCTCTCATCAATGCGACCCGAGCTCGAGTCTTGCTGGGTTCGGTGTTGTATATGAGTAGAGTTGTTTTTTGGTTCTCTCCTGTGCTTCGAGGGTTTTCTGGGTTCTCTGGTTTTCCTCCCTCCTCAAAAATCAACTCATAAATTCCAATTCAATCATGGAATGAGGGCCACAGATTTGTTATCCACTGGCTATTAAGTGCTATCCTCGTGAAAAAAAGGATGGTACTTTTAGTTATTGTTTCTCCGGAGCCTTGATTCAAAATGCCTTATGCTTGAGCACTCAACCAGAATATGGAAAGTTGGCTATTGCGTGCATGAGCTAAATATCTCATAACACTGTAGTTTGCAGTTCAACAGGTTAGACAAATAATGTGAAGTAGTTCCAAGAGCATTGATCAATACCTTCACTTTTGAGTGGGGAAATTTTGAAAAAAAAAACAACTCAGAAGAGGTGGTTAAAGTCTTTTTTTAATAGGATTTTTCAAAGGTTGGGAAATCTTTTTGAATAATTTGTTCAGACTTTTGTCTCTTTGCTTTCATTTCAGTTGGTGTGTATGTCTGTGATAATCTTCTCTTGTCAAACAAAGGTGAATATCTGTATGTGATAAGTATTTAAACCCCTCTTCCAAGAATTTTATCTTTAAAAGATCCATTCAATTTTTCTTGCAGTATGACTTTACCACATGGGGAGGAATGTTGTTCTGTGCTTCATTAGCACTTTTCTTCCTGGCAGTCTTCACTCCATTATGGTTGTTACTCCAAACAACGGTATAGTAATAAGGAATTCTCCTCATCATCCCTCATTCATTGACGATGACACTTTAATGTCTTTCATCYCTAACAATCCCTCTGCACTCTCAYCCCCCATTGACCATGATGACCCCAAAGCTCCCCTATATCTCTCAGGGCCATTCCCAATTCATTCCCCTCCCATTCCCCATCTCATAGATAACTCCATCCCCCCCCACAACTTCCACCACCCCCACCTTTACCCTCTGATCCCCTCCATCACACTCATGATCTTTCCACTAACACCTCTTTGCCACCACCAATTCCCTCCACTCACATCACCCCTACTCAGACTTCCTCTTTACCACCTCCACATTCCCATGCTGTGTTTGGTCAAGCGACCCTCCACTCACATCACCCCTACTCAGACTTCCTTTACCACCTCCACATTCCC